AAAGAGAGAGAGAGAAAGAAAGAAAGAAAGAGAGAGAGAGAAAGAAAGAAAGAAAGAGAGAGAGAGAACGAAAGAAAGAGAGAGAAAGAAAGAGAGAGGGGGGAGGAGAAAGAATGGTTGAGTAAACAGCTTATGCAGAAGGAGAATGCTCAGGCTCCCGGTGCGCGGTGCAGGGCGCAACATGCTAGGGAGCCCAAAACGCGACGTTGTAAATGTCCGCTTGACATCAAGTTGTTCGAAAAGAACGAAGAAATAAAAGAGAAAATAATATTTAAGAGTTGGAACGTTTTAGGCCAATTTGAGCCCTTCATTTGCCCGTCTTATAAAAAAATGTCTCCAAATTTATACAGATAATGACATTGAACGTTTTCCTAGCAATTCTCAACATTTCCATTCGCATATTTAATAAGAATATTTTTGTGCAAATAAATATTTCATTTATGTAAGCGGAAGGGAAAGAGAATGAGCATAGGTTCATTCTGTTGCAATTTTCAGTGATATTTTTATTTTACACACTTAATATTTTTATACATAAATTAGGCTTCCTTGATATACTCGTAATATGTTAAAACTATTTGCTCCATGGTATGGTGTAAGAATAACTTTTTAGTACAACGAAAAAAATTCCATGGTTTTGCAGATATAAAAAATAAATATTTTACAAATTTTCAATATTCGACTTGTACTTTTAGTCTAAATGTAAAAAGGTGTATCATTCATTTAGTCCACACATTATTGATTAATGTAAGTACTTTTCATGAAATTGCGTTTAATTTAGATTTTTAGATTTAGATTTTACATTTATTTAGTAAAAAAAACAGTAAAAACTGTTTATGACGTATGGGGGAGAAGATTGCGCATGTTTCTTGAGTTTGTGAAACAAAGCACTTTTTCGAAAAACTGTAATTGCAATTGTGGAAAAAAGTGAAACATTTTCTGTAAGAATTGCCAGTTGTGCAGTAAGCACATTCCAGTCTTGTTGCGGACACTTTCCTGTCCTCTGTCTCACCTCCCAGCGAAGCCGCCGCGCCGGCTCGGCGGCAGCGCGGAAGGACGGCTCTCGACCGATTACCGAAGTTAGCGGAGTCGAGCGCGGTTACTCCTTTGACGGGAGCTCGCCTGGGAGATCTTTGTGACGTCGCGCCTCCGAGTTAATTGACAAAGACTTTCCTTCCAAACGTCACAACGTGATGCACAACTTTGACTCAATTATGTAATCTTTACTTGGTTCAACGAACAGCCGCCACGACAATCTCCCACCTGCGCTCCACGGTTATAAAAGGCCCCGATGAGCGGGCGTCTTCGTCACTCGCCTGCGAGCTGTCTGGAAGGCCACTACCACTCCGCTACTGAGGATGGCTGCCGGAGTTGCAGACGAAACGTGTAGGCCGGTATACACGATACAGATTTTGTGCAGGTTCGTCGTACAGAAATGTACGGTCGAGTCTGCACGATTTCTGTATGAAAACTTTTGAGCATGTTCGTGATTTTTCGTGCAGATAATTTGGAGTGAGAGTCAAGCGCAGAATCGTTTACTAACGGGTTTTGTTCACCCGAAGGGACGGTAATCGGCCATTTCGATTTTGTGGCTTATGATGTCAAGGTGTGATTTTGTAAAGTGATATTGTGATAAACTACTTCTTTCCCTATTCCAGCCTTCCTATTTTTATTATCTAAGCTCCTCATGGTTAATTAATACTTAGTAAAGATAACAGCCAGAATGCGACTAGTACTCGGACGGCTCAATTCAGTTGTTTCCTAGTAGACCCCCTAGCACCGTATTGTGGCGATTCATACACAAAACGTACATACAGTATATGCGTGACTTTCGGCTTTTATACTTCTGGTTTGTGAATCTTGAAGTTTCTGTTCAGAAACCGTATGAGAATCTGCACGGAAACTGTACCACGTTTGTGTCGAAATTTCGACAACTAAAGAAAGACACACGGACGACAACAGAAAGAGCACAGTTTTTTGTTGTAGTTAATTGTCATAAAAGGTCGCGTCAACATCTAGGTCAGCGGCCACTTTTTCATTTAACGGTATAGTAACCGTCATGGCATGATATGGTGATGATACGGAATGAAAGGACGAATACAATTACAACCATGCCCGAGGCGGGACTCGAAACCGCAGTCTTTCAGACTAAGATCGCTAAGGCACTACTGCCTTCACAATCTCGGCCACCCGGATCGTCACAGTTATTTGTATTTGTTGTTTTTAAACTTGTTACGATCAAAAATATTCATCCAGTCGAATCGTAGTGTTAATGCAGATTTATGCTATCTTTATAGAAGTTCTTTCGAAATGCTAAATTCGAATTTTTTTCATGATACTTCACAACTTGTGCGTTCTGAGAAACAGCAAAGATGTTCCAGTCCTAAACTATTGTGTGTGTGACGAAGGGTTGTGGGTGCTGTGCGTTGCAGGGGTGGGAGTACTCGGCGGCGCTGTTCGTGGGCGGGTACGCGCTGGCGCTGACGTTCGTGTGCCTCGCGTACTGGCGCATGCTGCGCGTCATCCGCTCGTCGGGGCTGGCGCTGCGCAGCACGCGAGAGCGGCGCGAGCGCGCGGTGGCGCAGCGCGTGGCGCTCATCGTGCTCACCGACTGCGCGTGCTGGGCGCCCGTCATGGCCACGCAGCTGCTGGCGCTCGCAGGTGCTCCCGAACACACGCGCATTCTCGCTCTCTCCCACACACACATTCTCGCTCTCTCCCACACACACACTGTCTCTCTCTCTCTCTCTCACACACACACACACTGTCGATCACATAGACACATATTCACACACACACACACACTCACACTCTCTCACATGCACTCCCTCATACTCATATGTCCCCTCACACACCTCCTCTCAGACATACTTTACCTCACGCACACCCGTCCGCACGCACACCCTCGATCACGCACACCCTCGATCACGCACACCCTCGATCACGCACACCCTCGATCACGCACACCTTCGATCACGCACACCCTCGATCACGTTCTCCGTCATGCACGCTCTCCCTCACGCACGCTCTCCCTCACGCACGCTCTCCCTCACGCACGCTCTCCCTCACGCACACTCTCCCTCACGCACACGCACACGCTCACACTCATACTTTCATCAAGAGGGGTTTTCATCAAGTAGGTATATTCCACCTGCTGGGCACCGCCCCATTCCAAGCTCTAAGCTCCCGACCGGTCTCTCAGCATGTGTGGTAGTGTAGTGCATGTTAGTGTAAGTGGTCCGTTTGATAGGGAACTGCTCCGGCATTCGCCTGGTGTTGATCGGATAAACCGGTTCAACAAAGTCTTTTAGCCAATGAGAATACCGTGATATACAGTGGTGTTTGTGAAAATTGCAACACAGTAAAGGATTGATCAGAATGGCTTACAAATTGGTGGATGTGTAGTGCAGTATATCCATAACAAGTGGTTAAATATGATTAGAGATAATGTGCACACTGCACGTTTGCCTAGCAGTACCCTCTTTGGAATGACAGTGTTAGAGTCAGGTCAGTGTTACGCCACACTCAGCAGTTGTGCAGCCGTCAAACGACATGGAAACGTGCAAGCAAGTGCCGGATGCATTATCGACGCCAAAGAGTGTGATATCACTCGCGCAACTTTTCTTGAACGATGGATTGAAGAAATGCGTGTAGAGTGGAGGTATTAGTTACGAAATCGACCACTAGATTTTATGAAGCAATGGCAGTCTCTGGAGAATCAGTCATGCCTTCGCAACTTTCTCAGGAGTTCGAAGTATTTCCTGTGATAAATCTTTACCTGCTTCGGTCATTTCTTTAGAATTTTTTAAGAAAATCACGGACAGATGTTCTCGTGTACAACAGAAAATAGTTTCCATTTCGCGCAAGTGAAAATGGGTTTTTAATGTTATAATCAGAGCTCGCTGCGAGTTTTTGCATTCAACTGTTTATTGTGTCAGAGATGGAAATCATGGTCATCGTTCAAGAAACGTTGCGCGAGTAATGTCAGCATCCGAGGGAGTTCGAACGGGGCAAAATGATCGGTCTCCAAAAAGCGGGTTTGTCGTACCGTGACATTGTGGCTCGAACGGGGCGCGCCGCTGCGACAATGATGCGAGTGTGGAACCAGTGGATAGAGGATGGTCGTACACAGAGATGGGAAGATACCGGACCACACAATGTGACCACACGCCGAGATCACAGCCATCTTGTCCGCATGCCGAAAGAACGGCGTCGTCCACACTGTTTGCTCTACTTTGGAGCACTACAATGAGTGTGGTCAGTTCTGCGTCTGTTCGACGCCGTCTGCAGGGGGATGAACTACTGGCACGAATACTACAGCGTCTTCATTCCGTTGGACAGAAACCACCAAACCACCAACGTCATCGTGTTGACTGGTGTGCTGAGTGGTAAAATGTAAAGTTTTCGGACAAGTCCTGCTTGAAATTGTGCTACAGCGATGGCCGCGTACGTGTTCTACACTTCCGTGATGATCACAATCTGCCAACCTGCATTGCTTCGCGACATAGCGTACAAATGTCAAGTGTGAAGATATTGATCGCTATTAGCTATAATGTGCGATATCGCCTCAGACGTATTGAGGGCAATCTGAGCAACCGCTACATCTGGGAGGTTTTAGAACTCGATGTACTCTTACTCCTACAAACAGCTCCACATCCTATATTTCAGCAGGACAATGCCCGACCACATGTGGTGAGGAATGTGCAAGCTTTCCGCGAATAACGACGTGTTTCACTGCTTTCCTAGCCTGCACTTTCGCCTGACATGTCGCCCATTGAACATGTCTGGGAAATGATCGGTCGGCAACATGTTCGTTCTGGTCCTCCGGTAGCCACTGTCAATGATTTGTGGTCACGCATAGAAACCGCATGGAGGTGTGTTCCCCAGCAGCATATCCAGATTCTCATTGGACCAATGCTTCGACGTTTAGAGACTCTGATGGCAGCTCAGCTTCACACTGTACTAAATACTCATTGTCAAAATGCAGGTACAGTTCTGTGATTTTAATTATTTGTGTATTGTTATATTCCTAATCTGCTGTATAAATTCCATTGTAACAGTATGTCTCCGTCTTGGTGTTGCGATGTTCACAAACACCAGTATATTTCATATTTACAACGAAGTTACACCTGTGGCATTTGCCCCTGATATGTAGGCAACTCGTTGTACAGTGGTGTTTAGCAGACACCTGTTGTTGTTTTTTAAATTTTATTCAGCACGTGACTTCCTAAACAGTACCTACTAATCACAGGGAAATTTCACAATTGTGCAACTTCGTAATATGAAATATCCCAACGCGCGTTCGGCTGCCCTCCGTGCCAGAAAGTGAGAGCGCGTCCCTGTCGCAGGCGTGCGCGTGCCCCAGAGCCTGTACGCGTGGCTGGCCGTGTGCGTGATGCCGGTCAACTCCGCGCTCAACCCTGTGCTCTACACGCTCACAACGCACATGTTCAAGCAACAGGTGAGACACATGGGCTCCGCTATTGTTTAGCATTCCAGCTAATTTAAAAATTAATTGATGTTACATGAACATTTATTCCATCACTGTTATTTATAATTCTCATAACAATGACCGTTCAAATGTTATAAATTCGCGATGAATACTTTATTTAAAATTTTATTATATTTTTGTTGCTGATTTGACTTCACTATAGAAACTATTAAGTTATTGATTCATATAATATTTTTAAAACTATATGTTTAAATAAAAGTTGTCGAAACTGAAGAACTTTTAAGAATTTATTGTAAAATTAATCTCCAACTTACTTCATTTTTTTCATTCCTGATGTTCTTGGAATTAAAAAACGAAGTTAAATTCGAATATAACCGATAAAACGTTATATTTAATTTATTCTAGGTTCAAGGTTCTATCACTCATCCCCTACCATTCTTTCATTCATAATCTCCCTCAATAATAATAATAATAATAATAATAATAATAATAATAATAATAATAATAATACAATTTAATAAACAAAATATTTTTATTTAGAGGTACGTGTAGTGTTTTGCATAATATTCTTATTTTGTACCTTCCTCAGACGATTACGAGATCTGATTACGAATCCTTCATAGCTGGTTTAAATGCTATATATTCTATGGTTTATTCAGCCGAACACTACTATTCTGTTTTTTGAACCTTCTAGGGGAAAATGGAATTTGTGTTGTCCCCTTTTGTTGCTGTGATTCAATTCCTATTACGGACGTCTTTAATTTCTGTTCACAATGTATGCTGAATGGCAACATCGATATTATGTCTGGTAGTACTGTCTAATGTATTTTTACCGTTTCATTTCTCCTTAACTCGTTAGAGGATATTCATTAATTTAGGCGCTTATATATGTATGCCACATATAATTACGCTTCCCTCTGGAATCTCTATCCACAAGTGCGGCAGTGCAAATGTGTCACTACGTTCGCTACTAACCTCTGGCGGGAACAAGACGTAGGGATCTATGGCTCTACTTCTGAACCTCTCCGGCAGAATGCGCGAAGGTAATCATTCTCCGCCTCGTTCTACAAGTGAAATATCGAGCCGCAAGCAGCCGCCGGAGGCAATTTAGCCACACGCGGCGAGCACGTGGCCAGCGCTCCGCCCCCTAGCACGCAGCCAGCGAGCTCGGACCGGTCCGGGCAAAGCAAATTTCTACTTCATCACATTCCTTGATTGATTGATTGATGATTCCGGGCGCGTCAACGGCGAAGGTCATTAGTCCCGAAAGTGTATTACATGAGTTTTGCTTGGGGATTGAGGAAATCTTCCCCTGCTGGATGGTGAGATCCGGCGCCGACCTACCGTCGGCTAGCGGGGTTTTCCCTAACTAGGTATCTCCCCCAGTCGGTCAAGCTCTAAGCTCCTTCCACCGGTGGGCGAGTTCATGCGCCTCGAGCTGGAGGTGCTCAACGAGGCGCTCGCCAGGGACAGGTGACGCCATTGACTGGCTGGTAGTGATGCCGGGCGCGTGATAGCGGGCCGAAGGTCGTTGGTCCTGTAAGTATAGTGCATGCGTTTCCTCGGGAGGTGGCGAAGATCTGGATGGAGAGATCCGGCGCCGACCTACCGTCGGCTAGCGGGGTTTTCCCTAACTAGGTATCTCCCACCTGCGGGCATTCCCCAAGCCGGGACAGTGCTGATCTCTAAGCTCCCAACCGGCATGGTAATCTCCCAGCATGTGTGGTAGTAGTGTATGTAAATGTAAGTAGGTAAGTAGCAGGGGTTGGATAGGACAAGGAAGGGGAAGAAAAGATCGCGCGCGGTCTGTGGCCCGTTCGTTAGGGTACTGCTCCGGCATTCGCTTGGTGTCCATTGGACAAATCACGGAAAACTACCGAACAGAGCAGCCCACCGCTAGAATTCCCCTCCAAAGCTGACAGAACTCGACCTAACTACGTAGTTACGTTAGTGTTGATGATCCCGCCACTGCCGGGACGCGAACCTAGGACATCCTCGTCGAAGGCATAGCAGTGACATCAGTTTATGCCCTAAGCCACCACTCCTGATTCACCGCATTCGTAGTAAAGATAAATTTTTGTAATGCTGTGAAAAATCTATATGGAGATTCTGATGGAAATGCACGCTTTGGGAGAAAATTGTTGATTTCGAAAAAATGTTTTGTTTGTTTTCAAAAATGTCTGTCCGTCTGTCTTTGAAAACACTAGCACTTAAATCTTTATATCCAAAATACAAATTCGTGAATTTTTTGCGACGCACTACATTTTGTATATGAGAAAAACTAGAAACATTTCTAATATAAATAAAAGTAACATTTGTAATAACACATGTAAATATTTCAAATTGTAACCCAACTGGACAATTTTTTTAATATCTGTTGAAAACCTAACTGTAAAGTCAGGCTGAGTGGCAGTGTTGCCAATTCATAATGAAAAAAGTGTTTGCTTTTGCTGACAGATTTTGAAATAAAAAGGATTCAGCAATAGAAAAAGCACAACTCGAAACATCAAAATCATCATTTCATGATCTGGTAATTTTGATCTTCGCTGCCGTGTTTTCTCTTGTAGACTTCCTTCACATTGTGTGTTTTTCGTTTCATATTTTCAAGTATTGTGTTCTCTTGCGGAGTTACGCAACCCCGAACGAAATTCCGAAAGTATTCCGACGCAGATTTAATAGTGTGTCTATAAAATGTTTTCTTCATGAACGAGACTAATTTCTTTTCGGAAGAAAATAACAAGACGTCATTTTCTGAATAATGTAAACATTTCGATACTCTGATCAACGATCGCTTTTAGCTACTGATGTGACCGAAGGTCTTTATGGAACTACTGCTAATCGTCATGCAGAATCATCGTTCATAAAAATACGAAGAGTTCCCTGTTTTCTCAAACTTTGTCTCTAGTTTTCCGTCATTCTCACACATTATATTGTGGAAACACATACTTCGAAATTTTAAAACATCGATCACATAATGTTAGAATGAAATACGTGGCTATGAAAATAAAAGGTACTTTCTTAATTCTGGAGGAGAAATTAAGCTGACAGTGCGTGAGAAGTAAAAAATATCGTTTAGCCGGAGATCGGTCCTAAGCTGCGCGGAGATATAAATCACATTGTCGCGCGTAGTCATAGTCGACGCCCATAGACATGCCGACGCGACGTAGTCGCGCCCATAGGCAAAAGTGATTTATTTTGTATAGCGGCTGACTTTGAAACTTATACTAGTAAAATATGGTTATCAAAGCATATTTTGACACAACCCGCATATTTCAATTTACGTTAAAACTTCATTCATTTATTAGAGAGGTGGCCACATTATTATAGTAAATATTTTTTCCTTGCCTTAACGGATTATAATGTGTCTTCGGAAGTGCCTGAAAAAGCTAATGGTTTGATAGGTAACGACTGTTTATGGTTCTGGTAATGTGTACACCAGTTAATAGTATAATGAAGCAGGCAGTTAATATTATACTTACAGGTCGTAAAGAACCAATGATTCCCTGAAACAAACGACAGGTTTGGCAAAAATCCATTCATATTCGTGCATGACTTCGTCCCGTGCTACAATAGGAAAGAAAGTTGGAAAATATAAGAAAGTGATCAGTCTGTTCTTCAATGGGCTGAAAGTTGCTCTCTCATGAATCTCGTAGAAAATGTTCGATCTAATATTGTTTAAAAAAGTTAGAAAAAGAAGATTGTAGAAACCAGCTCATAAAACAACTCATTCGTTTCTTGTAAAAATACTCCGAAACTGAAAGAAATGATTAAAAATAGATATTCAACATGACTCATATGTGTTCATTATGAATGTGAATTATGTTTATAAAATATTAGATATCTGAATCTGACAAGATCTATGGTTACAAATACATTTGTGTCCCTTTTAGTATCTCTATCATAATAATTTGGCTGCCACTGTAATATAGCACTGAAATATATCCCGCCAGTCACCCAAGTAACGCTATTGATATCCACAAATAGTTCGTCCCTGCACACGCGTTTGGACGAAGAGACTCGATTGTATTGCTCCAACAGCCCAATTTATTATATGTGAATTTCCTCGCAAGCAACGACGGCTTGGCGGACACGGTGGCTTGTTCAAAAGGAATCGCGTTTCAGGCGGCGCGGCTGGTGTGCGCGTGGCAGAGCTGCGGGGCCGCGGAGGCGCCCTGGATGGCCCGCCGCCGCCCCGCCCCCGGCGCCGCCGCCGACCACGCCCACGGCACCGCCCGCGGCGCCGCCCGCGGCCACGCCCTGGACCTCGGAGCGGCGGTGAGCCCAATAATCCAATAACGGCAATTGAGAGCTGAGAAACACCCGTACGTTGGGGAAATTACACAGGCACACACGCACATACCAAACATATACTGTGAGGTCCAAAGAATTGTCACATATTTCTCTATTTATGTCGATGCGCTGAATCCGAATCCGATGCCAAAATTGGGCCGCCATTTTCCAAATCGCGAAAAACGGAAGGTTAATGGCGCAATTATGGCTTCATATTCGGATTCAGCGCGTCGACATATATTGAGAAACATGTGTCAAGTCTCTGCGTCTGACAACTTTCTTTTGTGTGTGTGTGTGTGTTTATATGTGTGCTCGTGCCTTTGTAATGAATTCTACGTTCATATCGTTACGCAACGGTTAGGATCGTCGAGAGCTTCTTTCACTAACAGTATATTTCGACGTCGTTGAATAGCTGTGCCATTACCGGTTGTGCCAAGGCGTGGCAAAAGTTAACAGATACTGTATCCCATAGACGCCCACAAAATAACGTTAGTTGTCCAGGAATCTATTAAGTATTCAATGTGACAAATAAACTAAATACCCCAAAATTATGTTTCGATACCCTCTTGAGAAGCCAATAATAATGACATTGTTATTTTCACATTACAACAATGCCTTTTAGTAAAAACTTTAATTTTAGGTTATGATACAAGAAAATGACCCATATTTATATGAATTTTTTGCGTGTTTCGTCGATTTTGACTCAGAAGTAATTTTTACATTTTTCCGTCATTTTAAAGCATTTTTCG